AATTTAATGAAATTGGTTACAATTGACGGAGTAACCCATGATTCACCAAATTATATTTTGAAGGAGGAAACAAGGTACTTTAAGCATATGTTTTTGTTTCAGTCGCCTCCATCTCCTCTAACTGAAGCTAATTGTAGAGATTTTTTTTCTATTGATAATGTAAAATTAACAGCCAAACAGAAAGACTAATGTGAAGGTGAAATTACAGAGGAGGAACTTCTGGATGCAATTAAAGACTTTAAGTCTGGGAAAACTCCAGGGTTGGATGGCATACCAGTCGAAGTATACCAAACCTTTTTTGATATACTAAGAGGACCGCTATTAGCATGTTTTAACCACTCCTATGTAAATGGTAGATTATCTGACACTCAAGAAGAAGATCTCATTATTACTGAAACAGGATACAAGTGGAAAATATAAAGATCCAGTCCATTTAAAAAATTGGAGGCCCCTTACACTTCAGTGTTGTGATGCAAAACTTCTAGCAAAATGTATAGCGCATAGAATTAAAAAGGTATTGTCGGATATTATTCATTCTAATCAGACAGGTTTTTTACAAGGAAGATACATTGGAGATAATATAAGGCAAGTATTGGAAACAATAGAACATTATGGAAAATCGGAGAAACCAGGCCTGCTATTCATAGCAGACTTCGAAAAGGCATTTGATAAAGTACGACTGGGGTTTATATATAAATGCCTGGAGCATTTCAATTTTGGTGAATCTCTTATAAAATGGGTCAAAATCATGTATACTAACCCTAGGTGTAAAATAGTAAATAATGGCTATTTCTCAGAAAGTTTTAAACTGTCAAGAGGAGTGAAACAAGGTTGTCCACTATCGGCATATCTATTTATTGTGGCCATCGAGATGTTAGCTATTAAAATCAGATCCAACAATAATATCAGGGGATTAGAAATCCAGGGCTTAAAAACAAAGGTGTCATTGTACGCTGATGATTCATGTTTTCTTTTAAATCCACAACTAGAATCACTCCACAGCCTCATAGAGGATCTAGATACATTTTCTAACCTCTCTGGATTACAACCAAATTATGACAAATGTACTATATTACGTATTGGATCAATAAAAAATAAAAAATTTACATTGCCATGTAGTTTACCAATAAAATGGTCTGATGGTGAGGTGGATATACTCGGAATACATATCCCAAAGGAAATAAATGATCTCACTTCAATAAATTATAATAGAAAGTTAGCAAAAATAGATAAGATCTTGCTACCATGGAAAGGTGGGTGCCTGTCAATTTGTGGAAAAATCACACTGATTAACTCTTTAGTATTATCCCAGTTTACCTATTTGCTTATGGTCTTGCCTACGCCTAGCGAACAGTTTTTTAAATTATATGAGAAAAAAATATTCCATTTTATTTGGAACGGCAAGCCAGACAAAATTAAACGGGCCTATTTATATAATGAATATGAATTCGGAGGACAGAAACTATTAAATATTAAAGCATTAGACCTATCACTAAAAGCTTCAGTCATACAAAAGTTATACTTAAATCCGAACTGGTTCTCTAGCAAATTAGTAAGATTGTCTCACCCAATGTTCAAGAATGGCCTTTTCCCCTTTATTCAGATTACAACCTCTCACTTTCAGTTATTTGAAAAGGAAATCATCTCCCAGATATCACTATTTCTAAAACAAGCCATAGAAGTTGGTTGCAATTTCAATTTAATCCTCCAGAAACGACAGAACAAATAATGCAACAAATATTGTGGTTAAACTAAAAAAAAAACTTGACAACATGTTTAAAAAAGGTATAATCTTTGTAAATGATATTATCGGTAGGACTGGTGGAGTTATGTCGCACATGCAGCTAACAAAAACATATGGAAATGTCTGCTCTACCCAAAATTACAACCAAATAATTGCAGCCTTACCGCAAAAATGGAAGAGGAAAGTGGAAGGAGGAGAAAGTAAGGAACTTGTCTGTCGGCCTTACATTAAAGAAAATAATTGGTTAAGGAAAACTATGATAAATAAAAAGGTAAATCAGTTTCATTTAAGGACCAAGGGATTGACAGCCGTCCCATATACATTGCAAAATAGTTGGGAAGAGATTTTTGACGTACCGATCCCATGGCATAGTGTTTATGAACTGATACGCAAAACGACACCGGATTCAAAACTTAAAATCTTTCAATTTAAATGATTATATAAAATTCTTGCTACCAATAGAATGTTATTTATATGGGGGATACAATTTTCCCAGCTCTGCAGATTTTGCTGCGAAGAGACAGAATCATTAGATCATTTGTTTTGGTACTGTCCACTTGTAGCTTGTTTTTGGACACAGATCCAGGAATGGCTAAAGGATTGCAATATTTACCTGGAGCTAACCCTGCAGATAGCACTACTGGGTGATCTGAAAAGTCATAGTCAATCGATCAATAACATAATAATACTGTTAGCAAAAATGTTTATTTTCAATTCACAATCTGTAGAAACAATGAGAATAGAAAGGTTCAGAACTTTTGTAAGACATCACAGTACAGTTGAAATATATATGGCAAATAGAAATCCTATATGGATGGTGTTAAAAGATACAGTGGGGGAAAAAAGTATTTAGTCAGCCACCAATTGTGTAAGTTCTCCCACTTAAAAAGATGAGAGAGGCCTGTAATTTTCATCATAGGTACACGTCAACTATGACAGACAAATTGAGAAAAATAATTCCAGAAAATCACATTGTAGGATTTTTAATGAATTTATTTGCAAATTATGGTGGAAAATAAGTATTTGGTCACCTACAAACAAGCAAGATTTCTGGCTCTCACAGACCTGTAACTTCTTCTTTAAGAGGCTCCTCTGTCCCCCACCCGTTAGCTGTATTAATGGCACCTTTTTGAACTTGTTATCAGTATAAAAGACACCTGTCCACAACCTCAAACAGTCACACTCCAAACTCCACTATGGCCAAGACCAAAGAGCTGTCAAAGGACACCAGAAACAAAATTGTAGACCTGCACCAGGCTGGGAAGACTGAATCTGCAATAGGTAAGCAGCTTGGTTTGAAGAAATCAACTGTGGGAGCAATTATTAGGAAATGGAAGACATACAAGACCACTGATAATCTCCCTCGATCTGGGCTCCACGCAAGATCTCACCCCGTGGGGTCAAAATGATCACAAGAAAGGTGAGCAAAAATCCCAGAACCACACGGGGGGACCTAGTGAATGACCTGCAGAGAGCTGAGACCAAAGTAACAAAGCCTACCATCAGTAACACACTACGCCGCCAGGGACTCAAATCCTGCAGTGCCAGACGTGTCCCCCTGCTTAAGCCAGTACATGTCCAGGCCCGTCTGAAGTTTGCTAGAGTGCATTTGGATGATCCAGAAGAGGATTGGGAGAATGTCATATGGTCAGATGAAACCAAAATAGAACTTTTTGGTAAAAACTCAACTCGTCGTGTTTGGAGGACAAAGAATGCTGAGTTGCATCCAAAGAACACCATACCTACTGTGAAGCATGGGGGTGGAAACATCATGCTTTGGTGCTGTTTTTCTGCAAAGGGACCAGGACGACTGATCCGTGTAAAGGAAAGAATGAATGGGGCCATGTATCGTGAGATTTTGAGTGAAAACCTCCTTCCATCAGCAAGGGCATTGAAGATGAAACGTGGCTGGGTCTTTCAGCATGACAATGATCCCAAACACACCGCCCGGGCAACGAAGGAGTGGCTTCGTAAGAAGCATTTCAAGGTCCTGGAGTGGCCTAGCCAGTCTCCAGATCTCAACCCCATAGAAAATCTTTGGAGGGAGTTGAAAGTCCGTGTTGCCCAGCGACAGCCCCAAAACATCACTGCTCTAGAGGAGATCTGCATGCAGGAATGGGCCAAAATACCAGCAACAGTGTGTGAAAACCTTGTGAAGACTTACAGAAAACGTTTGACCTGTATCATTGCCAACAAACGGTATATAACAAAGTATTGAGAAACTTTTGTTATTGACCAAATACTTATTTTCCACCATCATTTGCAAATAAATTCATAAAAAATCCTACAATGTGATTTTCTGGATTTTTTTTCTCATTTTGTCTGTCATAGTTGACGTGTACCTATGATGAAAATTACAGGCCTCTCTCATCTTTTTAAGTGGGAGAACTTGCACAATTGGTGGCTGACTAAATACTTTTTCCCCCCACTCTATATATATATATATATATATATATATATATATATATATATATATATAAAACATGGGGGATTGGAAGTGATGCAGACAATTACATTGATGGAAGTTAGAATCTATCTGCAATATAATGCTGATCTACACCCAAAAAGACAAAAAGAAAAAAAAGGAAAAAAAAGAAATGTACGCATGGTTGATAAATGAGGCCCCAGAATAGGCCTACTGTATTATGATTTGAGTTAGGCCACTTCAGTTTTTGATTGCTGTGTCATTCATCGTCCTGTTTGTTATTTTTGTTTGTAGACTACATTCGGATCCTCACTCCACCGCCAAGAGTGCCATCTTCATAGGCACAGGCCAATGCTCAGGCTATAGAAAGAAAAGGCTTTTAGATGTTTGGGAAATGGAATCCATTACTCTGGAATATAATAAGGCCTAGGTCAAGAGCTAGGCAGAATGTAGACCTACATGTTTTACTCTATAACCTTTTTATTTTGTATAATGTGGCCAGATAAAAACCCAGCTGTTTATTAAACCCTGCCAGAAGTTATGCTTCCAGTGTAGCAGGTGAACAAGTGTAGTGCTTCTTCAACACCCCTGATAGGCATGGCCCCACAAATTACCGGACTATTAAATCCTTCACTGTAATTTGTTCATGACTTAATGTTGTTGATGTCGAGGGGACGCAGCATGCATTCTTTCTTAGAGTTGGATCAATTGTGCCATGATTGTGCCTGTCAGCAAGAAAATGTAATTTGTCAGCTTTCTTGGCTTCTCTCCAGGAAAGGCTTGACCTCATGACCCGTCCCATCAGGAGGTGAGTCGGTTACCGGAGGTATAAAAACCTTGTGTGCCCCCGGAGACTGCAGTCCAGTGGGTTCTGAAGACAAGTGCAACATTAAAGAAGGTCCAAACTTACAAGGCTACGGTAAGACTTATTTTCTTTGTCGTTTTTAGTTTAAAAGTTTAAAAGCAGAAGAGTAGTGAGACATTATAAGATATAACAATTAGCTTTTTAAGAATGTAATAATTTGTTTATTAATATCTCCTTATTAAATTGCTTTCATCATTGCTTAGTTTTCAGTGAAATAATCCTTCTATTCTTTCTAGAGATGAAGATCTGGCAACTGCCTTCCATGCTCCTTGTTTTTATATCAAGTGTCTCTCCTCACCCTCATCACTTATTTGAGTATGATGAGCTAAGCCAGTATGTTGACAGCCATCAGGAGGAATATGTACAGGCAAGTTTCTAAACAGGATCATGATGTTGTCTGTTTTATTATCTGATAATACAATATTCATTATAAATAAATGCTGTGTGTGTGTCTGTGCGTGTGTCTGTGAGTGTGTGTTAGACTCTGCGGGACTGGGTTGCTGTAGAGAGCGACTCCAGTGATGTCTTGAGGAGGCCAGACTGCCATCGCATGATGGATATGACGGCTGAGAAACTACAAGCCATGGGAGGGAAGGTGGAACTAGTGGACATCGGCGTACAAGAGGTCAGTTTTCTGGAATGTGGTCAACTTAATGAGTATGTTATAGGATCTTTTTGTTTGCTTTTAACTTAGTCTTTAGAGTCCTTTAGTATCAGATCAGACTGGTTTGCAGAAATCAATACTGAAAGTTGGGTGTTGACAGAAATGCTCCCTGCCTTGCAAACTGTATTCAGGTTATTTTCTGCATCTACCATTTATTTTATCATCATGCTTAGCTGCCTGATGGCAAGACATTGGCCTTACCCAAGGTTGTGACAGCCCAGTTTGGCAGTGACCCCAGTAAGCAGACAGTCTGTGTGTACGGACATGTGGATGTTCAGCCTGCTAAACTAGAGGACGGCTGGGCCACTGAACCCTACAACCTGACAGACATCAACGGTAGGTTATGGCTTCCAACAGTAGTCTATGGGTTCCAACGGAAGGCTATGGGTTCCAACGGTAGACTATGGGTTCCAATGGTAGACTATGGGTTCCAACAGTAAACTATGGATTCCAGGCGTTCACAATCACAGCAATCAAATGTATTATAAGGATTTTTTAAAGTACTTTACAGTGATCCATTCTAGACCCAACACACAGAAACATCTATCTACAACTAACAGCCATTAGATATTATAGCTAATGTGAAGGAAAGAAGCAAGTACTTGGGTGTGGGATGATTTTTACCATGCGTATTTTGAACCAATGAAATGTAACTGGTGTAATTGATACATGCATGTAAAATGTCAATGTGAGGTGAACAGAATGGACATGTATCTGAAAATAATGACTTTGATTCTACCCCTAAGGAAACCTCTACGGCAGAGGGGCGTCTGACAACAAGGCCCCTGTCTTAGCCTGGATCCATACAGTGGAGGTCTACCAGGCCCTCAGCATTGTGAGTTTCCAGAAAGAAGAGATATCAGAGTGAACTCATAGGAGATGTAGAGACATAAGACATGTGATGAAACAAGTTGAGTTGCAGTCTAACTGACCATTATTAGCGAGCCACCCTTTGTTATAACAATTCTTATTTTTTCCCCTCCTCCTGTCCACCCCCTGCCCTCTCCCCATGCAGGACCTGCCAGTCAATGTGAAGTTCATCATCGAGGGGATGGAGGAGACCGGGTCCAATGGCCTGGACGCCATGATCGTGGCGCGGAGAGACACGTTCTTCTCCGATGTCGATTACATCATCATCTCGGACTGTGGTTGGCTGAGCCGACGCCCCGCCCTCACCTACGGGACCAGGGGGAACTGCTACTTCTTTGCTGAGGTAGGATGGGCTGGGGGCATTGCCAATTCTGTGGGAATTTCCAAGGAAACTCCTTTACTTTTTCAAGATCATTAATGAATAGCCATGGTGACTTTGTATGTTTGGAAGGTAGAGGGCCCCAAACAGGACCTACACTCAGGGGTGTATGGAGGCACTGTTATAGAGCCTATGACAGACCTGATCGGCATATTGGGTGAGTTTTTAACCTCTATGAATGACAGAATGTAATACTATCTTAACACCGAATGTATAGCTATCTCTGGCTCATGTTTGCATGCAAAGCTGCCGTCCGTGTGTCTGTGTGAGCTCTCTGTTGGCACAAATAATAAAGTATTAGATATCCCTACAAATGTGTGTCCATAAGGACTGCTTGTGTGTTGACCTATGTTGTTTTCCTCTTCCCCCCAGACACACTGATCAGCCCCAGTGGAAAGATCCTCATCCCAGGCATCAGAGAGGCCGTTGCCCCACTCTCAGATGAAGAGTGGAAGATGTACCAGGACATTGACTTTGACATTGAGAGCTATAAGTCCAAGATCGGCGTCAGCCAACTCATGTACAGCAACAAGGTAATGCACAGGGGAGTGGATTTTTTTCTAAAAACAATGCATACAAAAACGTTTTCAATGTGGGTTTTTTTCAGTTTTTCACTCCTCCTATCTCTGTTTCTCTGTTTGTATATAGCCTGTATGTATATAGTAACACAATATATTTTATTGTGATACTATTTTATTTGTATCTATTTGTACATTTTCGTACTTTTTAACTGCATTGTTAGGAAAGGGCTCGTAAGTAAACATTTCTCGGTAAAGTCTGCACTTGTATTCGGCGCATGTGACAAATAAGATTTGATTTGATTTCTCAGGTAGATCTGCTGGCCCATCGTTGGCGCTACCCTACTGTTACTATCCATGGCATCGAGGGGGCCTTCTCTGGCCCTGGCACCAAGACGGTCATCCCTGCTAAAGTCATTGCCAAGTTCTCCATCCGACAGGTCCCCAACATGGACCCAGCAGTGGTCAAGAAAGAGGTGGGTGGTACACGCCTCTCACCGACTGCATTGTACAGTTGCATGACAACACAATTACATGCAGTTACACACAGTTACACAAACATTTCTGGAATTGTTCTAACCTTTAGACTCTCTTTATACAATACATCCAAGAAAAGGGAACATTGATCCAGGTTGTTACACTATTTTAATGTCCCTCATTCTGCTCATTCAGTTAATTTACTATTCAGTTATTCACTATTTCAGTTTGGTTTCAGTTAATGAAATAGACGTGAAGACTGCATGTATGCCTGTTATGTATTTGTTCTGTTGCAGGTCACAGACTACCTGAACTCTGTGTTTGCCAAGAGAAAGAGCCCCAACAAGCTGAAGGTGACCATGATCATCGGGGCTAAGCCCTGGTTAGCAGACACCAAGCACCCCCTGTACGAGGCAGGGAAAGCAGCCGTGAAGAGAGGTACGCTTAGTCAACTCTGTTCTGGACAAACCTTCAGGTTCAGAGGACCTTTCTTATGCTGTCTGTGTGTGTGTTTGTATGAACAGTGGTCATAGGGGTAATGATTACCGTATAGTAGCTGACTGGACATTTATTGCACAACAGCAGCTTCACAGTGATAGGCCTATCTGTAGTCGTTAGAGTTGTTAAGTTACCAGACATAGATAGATATCCTTATCACTAAAAGAAACCAGTGTGCTGTGGTTGTACTGTAGACCTATCAGTGGTTAAGGCATGACAGTGCAGCGATATTGTAATGTTTGTGTAGCAGAAGGGATTTGGAATCACAATATCGCGAAGAGGTAGCCCTGTCTGAGACTTGTATGCCCAAATAACACCCTTGGACCTTGCAGATGTACTCTTGGTCTAAAGGTTAAGACATTGACTTGGTGAGCAGGAGACCTGGCTTCTAATCCCACTGGTTACATTTGGTTTTCCTCTACTGCAGGTATAATGCATTATGACGCAGTCAGACTTGTCATTGTTCTCCTCTAGTGTTTAACGTGGAGCCAGACCTGATCCGTGAAGGGGGAACCATTCCCATCGCCAAGACCTTTGAGGATGTGACCGGGAAGAGCATCATCATGATGCCCATCGGAGGCTTCGACGACGGCCTCCACTCCCAGAATGAGAAGATGAGCAGGTTAGCCCTTCAATCTCCTAATACTTTATGTATACATTTTTTAACGATGAACATCTATTGATTTTTATGCATGCATGCATGAACACACACACACAGATGTATCAACAGTGTCTTATTTCCTTTTAAAGGATTGGTTGAGGACATATTGTTTTCTCTCACCCATTCCTTTCCCAGGTACAACTACATAGAAGGGACCAAGTTGTTCATTGCCTACCTCCATGAAGTGGCCCATCTCAAGAAGAACTGAGAGCACCTCTTTTTTTTCACCACCATTAAAATACAGTTCTATCATGTTTAGCTTGTATGAGTTCCCATCAGTGGAGTCAGGCTTTTCTTAGCCTTTTTCCTGACGTTATGTTGTAACTTTTCTTGTTTCTTTCCCTCTAAGCAAAACATTCCAGAAACCATGTGAGTTCTTTGCATCTGATATAGCCTCAACACTCTGCTTCTCTCTCTTGCTCTCTCGCTCTCTCTCTGTATCTTTCTTCCTCCCTCACTTTCCTCCTTTCTCTCTATCATTCACACACAAATATCTACTTGAAACAGCAAATAAAACTGGTTTGACCAGTTTTTTTTTATGCATGCATGCATGAACACACACACACAGATGTATCAACAGTGTCTTATTTCCTTTTAAAGGATTGGTTGAGGACATATTGTTTTCTCTCACCCATTCCTTTCCCAGGTACAACTACATAGAAGGGACCAAGTTGTTCATTGCCTACCTCCATGAAGTGGCCCATCTCAAGAAGAACTGAGAGCACCTCTTTTTTTTCACCACCATTAAAATACAGTTCTATCATGTTTAGCTATAGGATAAAGTATTCCTTCTAACCCCCCCCCCCCCCCCCCCCCCCCCCCCCCAAATTGTAAAGTGGTTATCCCACTGGCTATAGGGTGAACGCACCAATTTGTGAGTCGCTCTGGCCAAGAGCGTCTGCTAAATGACGTTAATGTGCCCTTGAGCAAGGCACTTAACCCTAATTGCTCCTGTAAGTCGCTCTGGATAAGAGCGTCTGCTAAATGACTAAAATGTAATGTAAATGTAGCTTGTATGAGTTCCCATCAGTGGAGTCAGGCTTTTCTTAGCCTTTTTCCTGACGTTATGTTGTAACTTTTCTTGTTTCTTTCCCTCTAAGCAAAACATTCCAGAAACCATGTGAGTTCTTTGCATCTGATATAGCCTCAACACTCTGCTTCTCTCTCTTGCTCTCTCGCTCTCTCTCTGTATCTTTCTTCCTCCCTCACTTTCCTCCTTTCTCTCTATCATTCACACACAAATATCTACTTGAAACAGCAAATAAAACTGGTTTGACATACTATATGTTTTCTAAATCTTTATGTTTTCTAAATCTTTTTCATCTGGGATTCTTTAGAAATAACATTTTCAAGTGTTAACCAATATCCACCACTCCAAGACACAATGAAGTGCTTCACAATACCACCCCTAAATATAAAATCAGCCATAAAAACAAAGAGCAGCAAAAATTGCAGTTCTCTCTTTTTGTTTGTCACATGGAAACACTATTTTCTTCAGCATTACGGTGAGTCTTTACTATTTTAGCAAAATATGTGTACATGTTTTTCCTGGACTTGCTTAATTAAGTGCACTACTAAAGACTTGGTCAGGGAAAAACAGAAGCTGCATGTTCATAGAAGCTGTGATAAAGAAGAAGAAGAACGGTGAAATTACATTCAACATAACAGAAAAATGTGTGTGATATTGAACATCAGTATGATTGTGTGATGACCTGAGTGGGGTCGTGAGTGTGTATGCATGCATTATTATGGCATCACCAACAGCTTATGTTATCATCCTTCCCAGTCTCTGTATTAGTTCTGTTAGATAGTTAAATAGTAATCCCAGTTGAGACAGTGCTAAGTCGTGTGTTGAGTCACACTGCACTCTGATCTTTGATCCTCGAGCCCTGGCAGAGTCCATTCAAGTCAATCAGATACCAGAGACTACCTACAACCATAGAAATTGAATTACTAGAACAGACAATCCTATTCAAGTCACTGCTCTATGTTGTTTGGGAATTCTATTTCTGTGCCCCCACACTCTCAGGAGGAACATCGAAATCTACACTCACCAAACGAAGCTCATTGTTGTTGCGTTGCTCTTACTCCACACATCGGCTTCCTCTTCTTCCTCTTCCCCTGGAGCTGCAGGCATGTTGAAACCACTGTTTCAATACATAGATGACCACCAAAATCAGTTTGTTCAGGTGAGGGACGGGCACTCTTATGACATACCTACTCTCTGTTACTGAACTGTACAATGACACAAATATACATGTTTATGTGCTGTAGCGAGGTGAATAGAGAGAAACCAAAGCAAAGTAATGAGAGAGATAGAGAATGGGGGGAGTGAGAGAAAGAGAGTGAGAGAGAGGGGGGGGGGGGGGTTGAAATGGGAATGTGGTTTAACACTTCAAAGATAAATACTGTGGTATCTGATTAAGTCATCAAAATGATTCTGAATGTGGGTCACATTCAGGTTTCCCGAGTGACGCAGTGGTCTAAGGTACTGCAACGCAGTGCTAGCTGTGCCACTAGAGATCCTGGTTTGAATCCAGGCTCTGTCGTAGCCGGCTGGGAGACCCATGGGGCGGCGCGCAATTGGCCCAGCGTCGTCCAGGGTAGGGGAGGGAATGGCCGGCAGGGATGTAGCTCAGTTGGTAGAGCATGGCGTTTGCAACGCCAGGGTTGTGGGTTCGATTCCCATGGGGGGCCAGTATAAAAAAATAATGTATGCACTCACTAACTGTAAGTCGCTCTGGATAAGAGCGTCTGCTAAATTACTTAAATGTAAATGTCAGTGGTGCTGTTGCAGTGTTCTCTGCAAATATTCCTGACCTAGACAGTCTATGGCTGTGTCCAGTTATTATTATACAATCTATGCCATATTCTGACCCTCTCCTGGTTGCTGCCTGACTCAGAGGCTGACGGAGTGGGTTGCTGTCCAGAGTGACTCAGGAGATCACACTAAATGGGGAGAAGTTGAAAGAATCCTGAACATGACAGCAGTGAGGATCCAAGAGATGGGAGGCATAGTGGAGTTAGCAGATGTAGGCACTCATCAGGTAGACTACAATACACACTCAGTTTGTGTGAAAACACTCACCACCAGTCATACGTATTATTCTCCAGATAATGGAGTAATATTCTGTCTTAAAATACCTTTTAAAAAGCATGTACCTTTCCGGTCTATCACACAAGCTGCCCAGTGGGGAGACTGTGCCGCTTCCACCAGTGATACTGGCTGAGTTTGAGAGGGACCCAAAGAAATCTACTCTCTGTATCTATGGCCATGTGGATGTCCAGCCAGCCAAGATGGCGGACGGCTGGACCACTGACCCTTTCAATCTAACAGAGATCAAAGGTATTGCTGCATGTTACATGCCATGAATGGAGGGGTTTGATGTAGGTCCAAAACAAAAACAGAAGCTGGACAAAAATAAAGTCTATTTTGAGAAAACGTAATGTCCACTCACTGTTTTGCTGGGCCAAAATTTGATATTTTTAACAAATCAAAGTTTGATTACTTAGAAAAAATAGGAAAGTCCACTCACTGTTTTGCTGCTCCCATATGGGATCTTTTAATAAACCTTAGATGATATAATCACAACCAGGTTGCCTGCCTGCCATTCATAGGCCAGCTTCAACTAGCTCATGTACCCTGGTATTACAAGTGTGATAATATGAGGATGATGGTGGCTCAAGGTTTTGGTTCCCTAGGTAACCTGTATGGGCGAGGGGCCACGGACAACAAAGGGCCGGTCCTGGCCTGGCTTCATGCTGTGGAGTCCTACCTGGCCACAAAGAAGGTTAGGATTTGCCCTGAAACAACACAGCTGAAATCTGAATCTTTATGTTTCGCTAGCAGTCTCTAGTTAGTTTTCAGACATTCTCTAACCCATTCAGCATTGCTTTACATAGTGGTGCTCTGTAGCTCAGCTGGTAGAGCACGGCGCTTGTAACGCCAAGGTAGTGGGTTCGATCCCCGGGACCACCCATACACAAAAAAATTTTTATGCACGCATGACTGTAAGTCGCTTTGGATAAAAGCATCTGCTAAATGGCATATTATTATATTATTATTATTATTATATTACATAGCAATGGTTATTAAAGGGTTTCTGTAATCTATGTATCATAACCTGAGTGTTTGGAGTAATCTGTGAGTCTGAGTATAAAACAATTTATGGGATTGTAGTGGAGTCAAACAGTATATGAATAAGAGAAGAGTGACTTACTGGTAGGATTGCCTGGATCTATTGATTTCAGGAGATACCAGTAAATATAAAACTCATCATTGAGGGTCTGGAGGAGGTGGGCTCATACGGTCTGTTGGAGTTGACCAGGAAGAGAAACGACAGCTTCTTTGCAGATGTGGACTTCATAGTGATCTCTGACAACGTGTGGGCGACCAGAACCCCAGCCCTGACCTACGGAACCAGAGGGAGCAGCTATTTCTTTGTGGAGGTGATGATATACAGTGGGGGAAAAAAGTATTTAGTCAGGCACCAATTGTGCAAGTTCTCCCACTTAAAAAGATGAGAGAGGCCTGTCATTTTCATCATAGGTACACGTCAACTATGACAGACATATTGAGAAAAGAAATTCCAGAAAATCACATTGTAGGATTTTTTATGAATTTATTTGCAAATTATGGTGGAAAATAAGTATTTGGTCACCTACAAACAAGCAAGATTTCTGGCTCTCACAGACCTGTAACTTCTTCTTTAAGAGGCTCCTCTGTCCTCCACTCGTTACCTGTATTAATGGCACCTGTTTGAACTTGTTATCAGTATAAAAGACACCTGTCCACAACCTCAAACAGTCACACTCCAAACTCCACTATGGCCAAGACCAAAGAGCTGTCAAAGGACACCAGAAACAAAATTGTAGACCTGCACCAGGCTGGGAAGACTGAATCTGCAATAGGTAAGCAGCTTGGTTTGAAGAAATCAACTGTGGGAGCAATTATTAGGAAATGGAAGACATAAAAGACCACTGATAATCTCCCTCGATCTGGGGCTCCACGCAAGATCTCACCCCGTGGGGTCAAAATGATCACAAGAACGGTGAGCAAAAATCCCAGAACCACACGGGGGGACCTAGTGAATGACCTGCAGAGAGCTGGGACCAAAGTAACAAAGCCTACCATCAGTAACACACTACGCCGCCAGGGACTCAAATCCTGCAGTGCCAGACGTGTCCCCCTACTTAAGCCAGTACATGTCCAGGCCCGTCTGAAGTTTGCTAGAGTGCATTTGGATGATCCAGAAGAGGATTGGGAGAATGTCATATGGTCAGATGAAACCAAAATAGAACTTTTTGGTAAAAACTCAACTTGTCGTGTTTGGAGGACAAAGAATGCTGAGTTGCATCCAAAGAACACCATACCTACTGTGAAGCATGGGGGTGGAAACATCATGCTTTGGGGCTGTTTTTCTGCAAAGGGACCAGGACGACTGATCCGTGTAAAGGAAAGAATGAATGGGGCCATGTATCGTGAGATTTTGAGTGAAAACCTCCTTCCATCAGCAAGGGCATTGCAGATGAAACGTGGCTGGGTCTTTCAGCATGACAATGATCCCAAACACACCGCCCGGGCAACGAAGGAGTGGCTTCGTAAGAAGCATTTCAAGGTCCTGGAGTGGCCTAGCCAGTCTCCAGATCTCAACCCCATAGAAAATCTTTGGAGGGAGTTGAAAGTCCGTGTTGCCCAGCGACAGCCCCAAAACATCACTGCTCTAGAGGAGATCTGCATGGAGGAATGGGCCAAAAATACCAGCAACAGTGAGTGAAAACCTTGTGAAGACTTACAGAAAATGTTTGACCTGTGTCATTGCCAACAAAGGGTATATAACAAAGTATTGAGAAACTTTTGTTATTGACCAAATACTTATTTTCCACCATAATTTGCAAATAAATTCATTAAAAATCCTACAATGTGATTTTCTGGATTTATTTTCTCTCATTTTGTCTGTCATAGTTGACGTGTACCTATGATGAAAATTACAGGCCTCTCTCATCTTTTTAAGTGGGAGAACTTGCACAATTGGTGGCTGACTAAATACTTTTTTTCCCCACTGTACCTCATTTGATTGGTCAAATTAAAATATGACACACTCTACCAGGGTACCATTTGTTCAGTATCTTTCTCTGTTATGTGTTTTAGGTTGATGGCCCTAAACTGGACCTCCATTCTGGAGTGTATGGGGGTTCTATCCAGGAGCCCATGTCAGATCTGATAGCCTTACTGGGTGAGATACAGAGGCGTTTGACTGACAGCTCTTCCAATCCTCAAGAAAATATAGGCTCTACTCTCTTGTCTGATAGTAAAAATTAACATTTCATTCCATTATAGTTCAGGTCAGAAGTCCCTGCACCAAGCAAGAAATTAAGATAAAGTTGTATATGAGCTAAGGTGCTTACCCAAACTCAGTTCTAGTTAAAACATGTTTCATCCAAAAATGTCTTCATTATTTCTTATTCCTCCCAAACAGGAAGTCTGTTGGACCACACAGGTAAGATCCTAGTTCCTGGGGTCACTGATGATGTCGTGCCCCTCACTGAGGATGAGAGGAAGCTCTATGACAATATCAGCTTTGACCTGGAGGAGATGAAGAGGGTGGCTGGGGTCAAACACTTCCTACAGGACACTAAGGTACTGGGTACTGGTGCAACCCTAAAGGAATGACAGGTGCAACTGTGACTCAGGTTTGGGTTGGTTGAGAGGACTAGCCTGGCCCCAGTCTGTTTGTGCTGTCTTACCAATTTTGGTCATTGTCATGCCAAACATAACAACCATTGGAGTTGGCTATACTAAACTAATCTGGGCGTGAGGAGGAAGACGTGTTTGGTCAGTGGATACTGTAGAAGTCGATGTTTGACAGAGGGTGATTACTCTTTTTTGGATACACACTATCTGAGCTATATAACATGATACAAACAAACTGTGTTCATTAATATGCAGGAGGATGTCCTCATGGCTCGATGGCGTTACCCATCCCTGTCCATCCATGGGATCCAGGGGGCCTTCTCAGATCCAGGCACCAAAACTGTCATCCCCAAACAGGTCACAGGGAAGTTCTCCATCCGACAGGTCCCCAACATGGACCCTCCAGATGTGGAAAGGAAGGTACAGAGTGTCTACCTGTCATGGTTTGAATTACAGGGGTACCAGGGTTGTTGGGACAGGAGCATAACCATAACAAGGATCAAAATACAAGCATGGACATCCTCGTAACCCCTGTAACCAGTGAGTGATTAGTAAGTGACTATAAGTTGCTCTGGATAAGAGCGTCTTCTAAATGACCAAAATGTAAATATATGAGTCTCTGAGTAAGTGTACAGTATAGAAACGGTGGCCCACTCGATCTTGGTCACTCCAAGAGTCAATGTGTATATTTAAAACCCTGAAACGAATGCTAACATAACCACCCTCTCCAAGCCTCCATGTCCAACTCTCCCCTGTTACAATGCCATGTTTCACAGGTGAAGGAGCACCTTCAGCAGGTCTTCTCCACTCTAAACAGCCACAACAGGCTGAGGGTGACTGCAACTGTTGGGGCTAAACCATGGGTGGCTAACCTGAAGGACCCACAATACATTGCCGGACAAAGAGCGGTCAGAGAGGGTCAGTTGTAGAGGCCATTTACATAACCTCTCTCATTTGAAACCATGTCTAACTTTATTGTTTAAGTTAAGATGTGGTTTACCCTTGTGTTAGTGTTTGGAGTGGACCCGGAGCTGATCCGTGAGGGCTCCACCATCCCTATCGCTCAGAACTTCCAGGAGGAGACAGGCAAGAGTGTGATGATGCTGCCCATAGGTGGCCATGACGACGGAGAGCACTCTCAGAATGAGAAGATCAGCAGGTAAGAGGAGATGAGAAAAAGAAGAGATACGATTCCAGACATGTTTTCACCCCTAAATTCGTTTTTTAGTTTGTACACGGCAAATTAATCATGACAAACATCAACACAGATGTAGTTCAGTTCTTGTTCAGTAAAATACTGAATCCTGTTTTTCTCTCTCAGGTACAACTACATTGAGGGGACGAAGCTGTTTGCGGCTTATTTTTATGAGCTCTCACTACTACAGTAGATGCAGGATATATTTCCATCCAAGCTGTGACCATGATAATTATACTGTAGGTGACAGTATTGAGCTAATTGAGTGCCTGGCTGATCCCATGCCGTGACTTAACTCTCCCAGGGTGTCTCAGGGGGAGTGGGATATGCAAAAAAAAACATTTCCATTTCACCACACAATGAATAGGTTACACACTTGTACATGTGTGAAACAGGACAAATATAAGCACCCCTATTTGACCTTTGAATTTGTATTATTATACAGCCCGTATGAGGGTTATTACTTACCATAAGAACAACATTTTAGCACCCTCTAGAATAACTATTTCTACCATTTGTATTTCATGAATGTATTCTACTGTGTATTAACTAATAAAAGACAAATGGTGGCATGTCTTTTGAAATCAATGTGTTGATGATGAAGGAGTGACTAACAGCAGACAGTCCATCAATCAATTTATCTCTGAAATGTTACGCTTAAACATTGGGACTCAATAAACACTTAAGTGTTATTCAAGTGTTAAAAGACCCACGTGATAAAAAAAACCTTGGGTATTGTGAGAACATTTCAGGAAAAGAGGTGTCAGCACACTTGTGTCTTTCACCTTTAGCTGGAGGCAAGTGTATCACTCAGTGTGGATGTCTCTCAAAGAGAGTGGGCTGGGCTGGGAGGGGGCAGGGTTATGCATGCATTAGCTGAGATTAGGAGGAAGCAACAGGTGTGTGTTTACTGAAGATACTGACATGTCACTCAGTCAGTCTGCTAGAGGAGCTTACAGAGTGAGAGAAGGAGAGAGAGAAAGAGAGACAAGGACAGGGAGACAGTGAGAGGAAGGGAGAGAGGGAGAGAGAGAGAGAGAGAGAGAGAGAGAGACGGAGGCAGTGAGAGGAAGGGAGAGAGAGACAGAGAGGAAGAGAGAGAGAGAGAGAGAGAGACGGAGGCAGTGAGAGGAAGGGAGAGATAGAGAGACAGAGGCAGTGAGAGGAAGGGGGAGAGAGAGAGGAAGAGAGAGACAGAGGCAGTGAGAGAGAGAGAGGGAGAGAGAGACATACATACACAGTCAGGGAGAGAGAGGGAGAGTGTGAGAGCAACTGCAAAGGAGAGACACCGAAATTGAGAATTGGACAGTACCAACAGAGAGACGTGATGGAACCCATGGGTGATGTTCTCCATCTTTTAGTCATCCTGTCCTTTTTGGAGACAGGCAATGCCAAAGTGAAAGACTTCAAAGCAGCAGGAGCTACAGCACCAGGAGATATCATCATTGGAGGGCTGTTTTCCATCCATGAGGGAGTAGAGGAATCCCTGAACCTCTCAGCACCCCATGCATCACAGTGTGTCAGGTAGGGTAAGTGCCAAGATAAGATTGGGTGTTGTAAAGAGATATTGAAAGAGTCTGTCTGTCTGTCTGTCTGTCTGTCTGTCTGTCTCTCTCTCTCTCTCTCTCTCTCTCTCACCTCCTCCAATTATCTCTCTCTCTCTCTCACCCCCTCCAATTCTCTCTCTCTCTCTCTCTCTCTCTCTCTCTCTCTCTCTCTCTCTCTCTCTCTCTCTCTCTCTCTCTCTCAATTCCATTTCAATTTAAGGGCTTTATTGGCATGGGAAACATATGTTAACATTGCCAAAGCAAGTGAAGTAGATAGTAAACAAAAGTGAATTAAACAATAAAAATTAACAATAAACATTACACTCAGAAGTTCCAAAAGAATAAAGACATTTCAAATGTCATATTATGTATATATACAGTGTTGTAACAATGTGCAAATAGTTAAAGTACAAATGGGAAAATAAATAAACATAAATATGGGTTGTATTTACAATGGTGTTTGTTCTTCACTGGTTGCCCTTTTCTTATGGCAACAGGTCACAAATCTTGCTGCTGTGATGGCGCACTGTGGTATTTTATCAAAATTGGGTATGTTTTCGAATTCTTTGTGAATCTGTGTAATCTGAGGGATATATGTGTTTCTATATGGTCATACATTTGGCATGAGGTTAGGAAGTGCAGCTCAGTTTCCACCTCATTTTGTGTGCAGTGTACACATAGCCTGTCTTCTCTTGAGAGCCAGGTCTGCCTATGGCAGCCTTTCTCAATAGCAAGGCTATGCTCACTGAGTCTGTACATAGTCAAAGCTTTCCTTAAGTTTAGGTCCTGTCACAGGTATTCTGCCACTGTGTACTCTCTGTTTAGGGCCAAATAGCATTCTAGTTTGCTCAGTTGTTTTGTTAATTCTTTCCAATGTGTGAAGTAATTCTCTTTCTGTTTTCTCTTGATTTGGTTGGGTCTAAATGTGTTGTTGTCCTGGGGCTCTGTGGGGTCTGTTTGTGTTTGTGAACAAAGCCCCAGGACCAGCTTGCTTGGGGGACTCTTCTCAAAGTTCATCTCTCTGTAGGTGATGGCTTTGTTATGGAAGGTTTGGGAATCGCTTCCTTTTAAGTGGTTATAGAATTTCATGGCTCTTTTCTGGATTTGGAAAAGTATCGGTATCGGTATCTGTCACGCCCTGGCTCTGGGGACTCTAGTATGTTGAGCCAGGGTGTGAGTTTTCATTTGTGTTTGTTCTAGTTGTTGTATTTCTATGTTGGCCAGGGTGGCTCCCAATCAGAGATGGCTGTAGCTCGTTGTCTCTGATTGGGAGCCATACTTAAGTAACCGTTAGGCATTCATTTGGTGTGGTTTCTTGTTCCGTGTTGGTTTGTGTATGCAACCAGGGACGTCACGTTTTCGTTTTGTTGTTTTGTTCGTGTGATACTTTATAATAATAAAATGTTCGCATTCCACGCTGCGCCTTGGTCCTCCTCTGTTCCCGACGAGCGTGACAGTATCGGCCTAATTCTGCTCTGCATGCATTATTTGGTGTTTTTCGTTCTACACTGAGGATATGTTTTGCAGAATTCTGCATGCAGAGTGTCAATTTGGTGTTTGTCCCATTTTGTGAATTCTTGGTTGGTGAGTGGACCCAAGACCTCACAACCATAAATGGCAATGGGTTCTATAACTGATTCAAGTATTTGTAGCCAGATCCTAATTGGTATGTCGAATTTTATGTTCCTTTTGATGGAATATAAGGCCCTTCTTGCCTTGTCTCTCAGATCATTCACAGCTTTGTGGAAGTTACCTATGGCGCTGATGTTTAGGCCAAGGTATTTATAGTTTTTTGTGTGCTCTAGTGCAACGGTGTCTAGATGGAATTTGTATTTGTGGTCCTGGCAACTGGACCTTTTTGGAACACCATTATTTTTGTCTTACTGAGATGTACTGTCAGGGCCCAGGTCTGAACGAATCTGTGCAGAAGATATAGGTGCTGCTGTAGGCCCTCCTTGATTGGTGACAGAATCACCTGATCATCAGCAAACAGTAGACATTTGACTTCAGATTCTAGTAGGGTGAGGCCGGGTGCTGCAGACTGTTCTAGTGCCCTCACCAATTTGTTGATATATATACGTTGAAGAGGGTGGGGCTTAAACTGCATTCCTGTCTCACCCCACGGCCCTGTGGAAAGAAATGTGTGTGTTTTTTGCCAATTTTAACCGCACACTTGTTGTTTGTGTACATGGATTTTATAATGTCGTATGTTTTTCCCCCAACACCACTTTCCATCAATATGTATAGCAGAACCTCATGCCAAATTGAGTCAAAAGCTTTTTTGAAATCAACAAAGCATAAGAAGACTTTGCCTTTGTTTTGGTTTGTTTGTCTGTCAATTAGGGTGTGCAGGGTGAATACATGGTCTGTCGTACGGTAATTTGGTAAAACGCAAATTTGACATTTGCTCAGTACATTGTTTTCACTGAGGAAATGAACTAGTCTGCTGTTAATGTTAATGCAGAGGATTTTCCCAATGTCGCTGTTGACGCATATCCCACGGTAGTTAATGGGGTCAAATTTGTCTCCACTTTTGTGGATTGTGGTGATCAGTCCTTGGTTCCAAATATTGGGGAAGATGCCAGAGCTAAGGATGATGTTAAAGAGTTTAAGTATAGCCAATTGTAATTTATGGTATGTATATTTTATCATTTCATTGAGGATACCATCAACACCACAGGCCTTTTTGGGTTGGAGGGTTTGTATTTTGTCCTGTAGTTCATTCAATGCAATTGGAGAATCCAGTGGGTTTTGGTAGTCTTTAATAGTTGATTCTAAGATTTGCATATGATCATGTATCTTTTTTTGCTGTTTGTTCTTTGTTATAGCGCCAAAAAGATTGGAGAAGTTGTTTACCCATACATCTCCATTTCGGACAGATACAGTGGCTTGCGAAAGTATTCACCACCCTTGGCATTTTTCCTATTTTGTTGCCTTACAACCTGGAATTAAAATAGTTTTTTGGGTGGTTTGTATCATGTGAATTACACAACATGCCTACCACTTTGAAGATGCAAAATATGTTTTATTGTGAAAGAAATCAGACAAAAAAACAGAACTTGAGTGTGCATAACTATTTACCCCCCCAAAAGTCAATACTTTTTAGAGCCACCTTTTGCAGCAATTACAGCTGCAAGTCTCTTGGAGTATGTCTCTATAAACTTGGCACATCTAGCCACTGGGATTTTTGCTCATTCTTCAAGGCAAAACTGCTCCAGCTCCTTCAAGTTGGATGGGTTCCACTGGTGTACAGCAATTTTTAAGTAGTACCACAGATTCTCAATTGGATTGAGGTCTGGGCTTTGACTAGGCCATTCCAAGACATTTAAATGTTTCCCCTTAAACCACTCAAGTGTTGCTTTAGCAGTATGCTTAGGGTCATTGTCCTGCTTGAAGGTGAACCTCCGTCCCAGTCTCAAATCTCCGGAAGACAGAAACAGGTTTCCCTCAAGAATTTCTCTGTATTTAGCGCCATCCATCATTCCTTCAACTCTGACCTGTTTCCCAGTCCCTGCTGATGAAAAACATCCCCACAGCATGATGCTGCCACCTCCTTGCTTGACTGTGGGGATGGTGTTCTCGGGGTGATGAGAGTTGTTGGGTTTGCGCCAGACATAGCGTTTTCCTTGATGGACAAAAAGCTCAATTTTAGTCTGATTTGACCAGAGTACCTTCTTCCATATGTTTGGGGAGTCTCCCACATGCCTTTTGGCGAACATTTAAGCAATGGCTTTTTTCTGGCCACTGTTCCGTAAAGCCCAGCTCTGTGGAGTGTACGGTTTAATGTGGTCCTATGGACAGATACTCCAATCTCCGCTGTGGAGCTTTGCAGCTCTTTCAGGGTTATCTTTGATCTCTTTGTTGCCTCTCTGATGAATGCCCTCCTTGCCTGGTCCGTGAGTTTTGGTGGGCGGCCCTCTCTTGGCAGGTTTGTTGTGGTGCCATATTCTTTCCATTTTTTTATAATGGATTTAATGGTGCTCCGTGGGATGTTCAAAGTTACTGATATATTTTTTATAACCCAACCCTGATCTGTACTTCTCCACATCTTTGTCCCTGACCTGTTTGGAGAGCTCCTTGGTCTTCATGGTGCCGCTTGCTTGTTTGGTGGTACCCCTTGCTTAGTGGTGCTGCAGACTCTGGTGCCTTTCAGAACAGGTGTATATATACTGAGATCATGTGACACTTAGATTGCACACAGGTAGACTTTATTTAACTAATTATGTGACTTCTGAAGGTAATTGGTTGCACCAGATCTTATTTAGGGTCTTCATAGCAAAGGAGGTGAATACATATGCACGCACCACTTTTCTGTTATTTTTTTTTGTAGAATTTTTTGAAACAAGTTATTATTATTTTTTCACTTCACCAATTTTGACGATTTTGTGTATGTCCATTACATGAAATCCCAATAAAAATAAATTTTAATTACAGGTTGTAATGCAACAAAATAGGAACAAGCCAAGGGGGATGAATACTTTTGCAAGGCACTGTAGCTCTTCGTGCTGTTGTTTGTTTAGTGTTTTCCAATTTTCCCAGAAGTGGTTAGAGTCTATGGATTCTTCAATTACATTGAGCTGATTTCTGACGTGCTGTTCCTTATTTTTCTGTAGTGTATTTCTGTATTGTTTTAGTGATTCACCATAGTGAAGGCGTAGGCTCAGGTTTTCTGGGTCTCTATGTTTTTGGTTGGATAGGTTTCTCAATTTCTTCCTTAGGTTTTTGCATTCTTCATCAAACCATTTGTCATTATTGTTACTTTTCTTCTGTTTTCTGTTTGAAAGGGAAGCTGAGAGGTCAAATATACTGTTTAGGTTTTCTACTGCCAAGTTTACAGTGGAACGTTTTGTCCAGGAAGTTGTCTAAAAGGGATTTAATTTGTTGTTGCCTAATTGTTTTTTGGTAGGTTTCCACACTATTTTCCTTCCATCTATAGCATTTCTTAATATTATTCCATTCCTTTGGATTTGATGCTCATGATTGAGTATTGCTCTGTTCAAGTAGACTGTTTTTGCTGTGGTCTGATATGGGTGTCAGTTGGCTGACTGTGAATGCTCTGAGAGACTCTGGGTTTAGGTCAGTGATAAAGTAGTCTACAGTACTACTGCCAAGAGATGAGCTATAGGTGTACCTACCATAGGAGTCCCCTCAAAGCCTACCGTTGACTATGTACATACCCAGCGTGCGACAGAGCTGCAGGAGTTGTGACCCGTTTTTGTTGGTTATGTTGTCGTAGTTGTGCCTAGGGGGGCATATGGGGGAGGAAATGCTGTCATGTCTAGGTAGGTGTTTGTCCCCCTGTGTGCTGAGGATGTCAGGTTCTTGTCCAGTTCTGGCATTTAGGTCGCCACAGACTAGTACATGTCCCTGGGCCTGGAAATGATTGATTTCCCCCTCCAGGATGGAGAAGCTGTCTTCATTAAAATATGGGGATTCTAGTGGGGGGATATAGGTAGCACACAGGAGGACATTTTTCTCTGTTGAGATAATTTCCTTTTGAATTTCTAGCCAAATGTAAAATGTTCTTGTTTTGATTAATTTAATAGAGTGACTTAGGTCTGCTCTGTACCAAATTAGCATACACCCTGAGTCCCTTCCCTTTTTCACACCTGGTAGTTTGGTGGATGGGACTACCAGCTCTCTGTAACCTAGAGGGCGACCAGTGGATCCATCTCCTCTATACCATGTTTCTTGTAGGATAACAATGTCTGTATTTCCTATTCCTTTGGTGAAGTCCAGGTTCCTGCTCTTTAGGCCAAAGGCAGATGACCTCAGGCCTGGATATTCCAGGATGAGAATTCTCTCTCTCGTCCTGTCCCAAGCCCCTTTTGCCTCTCGTATCTGTTCCCCTCAGGCCTGGATATTCCGGCTACTCTGAGACCTCTCTCTTTCTCTCTCTCTCTCTCCTCTCTCGTCATCTCTCTCTCTCTCTCTCTCGCTCTCTCTGCTCTCATCTCTCGCCTCTCTCTCTCATCTCTTCTCTCTCCTAACCTCCTTCTCTCTCCTGCTCTCTCTCTCTCTCTCTCGTGTCTCTCTCTCTCCATCGTCTTCTCTCTCTCTCTCTCTCTCGATTACATCTCTCCTCTCTCGTCTCTCTCTCTCTCTTTCACTCTCTAATGTATGACTAAGTGTTTGTGAGAGAGAGTTGATTTACTCTGAAAGGTGATGATCAAACCATGCCTTATGTACCTTGAACAAACACACACACTCAAATGCACACAAACACAGGTTCAACACGGATGGGTTCACCCGGGCATTGGCTATGATCCACGCTATAGAGTTGGCCAACAGATCCCCTGTCCTGACTACACTAGGGATCTCTCTGGGATACCGTATCCACGACTCCTGCTCTGATGTCACCACCACTCTGAGGGCCTCAGCTGACTTCACACAGGTAAAAGCTCTTTAGCCAAAATGTTGGTCAAATCAATCCACAGCAAGGATAGATGAGTATGCTACCTTTTTTGGATTTGTATAGTTAATCTTCCATTAGCCAGCACCTCATATAAATGGTGTACATTCTTTACTTCACACAGGAGCCAACCACAGACTGTGGGGGAGGGGCCAACACCTCTAACGCTTCCCCGCCAATCATGGCCATCATAGGGGCCTCTTCCTCTGAGATTTCCATCTCCATTGCCCGGCAACTCAACCTGGAGCTTATTCCTCAGGTAAGCAGTCAAAACCCACCCACAGAGTGACGATTGATGGACAGTAACAAAAGGGTTGATAAAATAATGAATAACCGAGTTGTGTCAAAAAAATGACAGACAGCAATGATGATACAGATAAATGACAAAATCACTTCAACATAGGACCACCGGAAACCGTGTGGCCAGGCAGCATTTTTCTGTCTATCACATCGGAGTGCTGCTGTACGCTCTTTGCGTGTCTTGACTAATCAGATTCACGGAAATTGCAGGTCGCGCGGGCAGGGCACAAAGCTCAAGGTGTTTTTTAAAACCACCGGACCAGATTAGAAAAACTCTGGTCCCATCATAGCCCATATTAAATATTTTTAGAACAGATAAATCACGGCATACCGTGTAAGGTCCTGAGTTTTACCTGGTTAGGTTACTTCTGATCCAACATAACCTTATCTCTTTGAATCATCACAGATCAGTTACGCCTCCACCGCCATCATCCTGGGTGACAAGATCCGTTTCCCCGCGTTCCTGAGGACTGTGCCTAGCGACCTGTACCAGACGCGTGCCATGGTCCGGTTGCTTAGCGACAGCAAATGGACCTGGGTGGGCATGGTCACCACAGATGGAGACTACGGCCGCTCAGCCATGGAGAGCTTTGTCTCCCAGGCAACCGCCTCAGGGATCTGTGTGGCCTTCAAGGAGATCCTCCCTGATTCGCTGACCAGCCCTGATATCAACTCAGCCGTCAGAAATGCCAGCAACACCATCCGCAGCAACCCCAAGGTCAAGGTGGTGGTGACATTCGCCAAGCCTACTCACATGACGTACCTGTACCGGGAGCTGAGGGGTCAGAGGCTGGGGTCAGGGCTGGGGGAGAGGGTGTGGGTGGCCAGTGACAGCTGGTCATCGTCAAAGGAGGCCCTGGGAGAGATGGACCTCCCAGATATCGGCCATGTGGTGGGCTTCACCTTCAAAAGAGGGAACCTGGCTCCTTTCCATCACTACCTGATGAATATGAGTGACAGCAATGATGTCATAAGAAACAACTCCTTCCTAAAGGAGTTCTACTCCCTGCTAAACGGGTCGGGAGACCCCGGGGTTGTGTCCTCCTCCACAGCCGCAGCAGAGATCCTGCTAAACAACAGCCATGCAGGCATAGTCTTCAGTGTGGAGATGGCTGTCAGTGCCATCGCCCATGCAGTGGCTGATATCTGCAGCAAAAAGGACTGCAAGACAGCAGGCACTGTCCAACCCTGGAAGGTAGCTACTGCACAACTCCTCATGTCTACAGCACAACAAACTGAACTTATATACTGTATGTCATCTAATATATTTGGGATATGGCTTTGGTCTACGATATGTGAACGAACTTGCATTTGCATTTGTTTCAGGTGCTTCAAGCCCTGAGGGGAAGTCGGTTTGAGCTGGAGGGGAAAAGCTATATGTTTGACCAGAAAGGGGACATCAACCTGGGCTATGATGTAACCGTGTGGAGGTCTGTGAGAGGGGTCATCAACGTCAGTGACGTTGTAGCTGAGTACCATCCAATCAACAACAGCTTCAGCTACACCAGCAGACACACCACAAATATCACTGACCTGAAGGTAAGGGTTAGGGTTATGTTGAGGGTTAGGGTTAGGGTGAGGGTTAAGGTTAGGTCTCACTCTCTTTTGTCTGTCTGCTAGGCTGCCACACAAAGGTTCATGTACACATCCACATTAACCGATTATCACACTTGACATAGAGAGACACAAACACAAACAGATCGGAAGGTCAAACAATCTACTTTTTCTTCCGCAAAGTGACTAAAGAAAACTAAACATACCTGTTTGAGAGACTTCTCAGTAAAACTGGAAAACAAATAGAGATGGAAATTCAATAACCCCTGATCAGTTAAACAATGGGCATTGTTTGAATAAGAAAACCAAGTACCTTGGCACACACTGGGTGCACCTGTATCACACATTCATGTTAGATATCGGTGATGCTCTAAAAACAAAAGTAAAAACTGTTGTGTAACAAACACAATACTCAGAAGAATATAATTAGCGGTTGAATAGTTTGTATATGCCTCCCTTACAGAAAAACCACATGATTTCACGTGGAACATCACATGATTTTACATGTGAAATCATGTGAAAATGTGTTTATGGAACACTTCACGTGATTACGTTTTCACATGTGTTGTTTCATGTTATCACGTGTTGCTTTACATGTTGTCACATGGTTTTAAGTCGACAGCTAGGTTTAACTGTGCCCAGGAAACTGGCCATACATGTAAAGGCTTGTTTGAAAACTACAATTAATAGATTTCAGTCAGAGTTCTTCTTGGGTCAGCCATTTAAATTAGTGCATTGTTTCCTGATGCAGGATGTGGTGTCTGTGTGCTCGGCTAGCTGTAAGCCTGGGGAGTTCAAGAAGACTGCTGAGGGTCAGCACACCTGCTGCTATGAATGCATCAACTGCACTGAGAACCACTACTCCAACAACACTGGTTAGTTCTCATGTACTGTCTCTCTATACACACCAGTGTACTCTAACTCTCCTCAGTTCACACAATCTTACAACACTGTCCTTATCCAACACTGTTAGTACTAGGCAACAACACATATATTTCTAAATTCTAAACAGTTGTTCAAGCACTATCCTCCCTTCCAACCCTTTGTGTGCCTCTGTCTCCTCTCCAGACATGGACCAGTGTCTGTCTTGTGACACAAAGAGAGAGTGGTCCTTGGAAGGGAGCTCTTGGTGTACCCATAAGACCCTGGAGTTCTTCTCCTGGCAGGATGGCTTTGCGGTGGTGCTGCTGGCGCTGGCGGCCCTGGGCATCATCCTGGTTCTCCTGGTGGGGGCGCTCTTCCTACACCAACACCAGACCCCCGTGGTGAAGGCTGCCGGTGGGCCTCTCTCCCAGCTCATGCTGCTCTCCCTAGTGGGAAGTTTTGTTAGCGCTGTGTTCTTTGTAGGTCATCCCAGCAGCCTCCAGTGTAAGGTATGTACGGTACACACAGTTTGGGAAACACTTCTGTAATGTACTGTCTGTGACGTTGTCTGATTGTACCAGTGTCAGTTTGTGAATTCATGGTTTATTGTGTGTGTATTGTTCTGAACCTTATGTAACTTTGCGGTAAGGAATTTAGTTTGTAGACGCAAAGAAAATTTAAATACAAAGAGATAATACATTTCTGTCTCATTGTCTCATCTCTTCTCATCTTCAAGACGCGTCAGGTGCTGTTTGGCCTCAGTTTCACCCTGTGTGTTTCCTGCATCCTGGTCAAGTCCCTGAAGATCCTGCTGGCCTTCCAGCTCAACCCTGATCTGAAGGACGTTCTCCGCCGCCTCTACCAACCCTACGCCATCATTTGTCTCTGTGTGGCCCTACAGGTTCTCACCTGCACCCTGTGGCTGGTCCTGCAGAGCCCCTGGGACAAGGCCACTGTCTTCGCCACCACTGTGCTGGCCGAGTGTGACGAGGGCTCCTACATGGCGTTTGGCGTAATGCTCGGCTACATCGCTGTCCTGGCGCTCGTCTGTTTCGCCTGTGCATTTAAAGGCCGCAAGCTGCCACAGAATTACAATGAGGCCAGGTTCATCACCTTCAGCATGCTCCTCTACCTCATGTCCTGGGTGATCTTTGTGCCCGTCTATGTGACCACCTCAGGGAAGTACCTGCCAGCGGTGGAGATGGTGGTCATCCTCATCTCCAACTATGGCATCCTCAGCTGTCATTTCTTCCCCAAGTGCTACATCATCCTCTTCAAGAAGGAGCACAACACCAAGAGTGCCTTCATGAAGAACGTGCAGGACTTCTCCTTTAAGAGCATTACTGACTCTAGCTCTGTCTCTGAGACTTCAGTCTCTCAGACAGAAGGGAAGTGTACCAGTCACACTTACTCCATCAGTTCACCTTCTTTCTGCATGTCTCCTCCACCAATAGAAACCACAGCACCTCAGAATTTCTGGTCCGTTGGCCAAAACATTCAGAGCATTGACATTGCAACCCATTGCACCATAGTAGACCATGGAGTGTTTGTCACAGGTCAGCTGACCCGACCATACCGTCTGAGGAGAAGCATGAGCCTATGAGTGGAGTGGACCACTGTCTGGAACTTTAACTTCTCACGGTACATCACACGGTGTGTCTATGTTTCTCTCATTGGTTTGACTGTTCCCATTTTGCTTAGTCTGCTGGTATGTTTTTTGCCCAAGTGGGTTGTTGATTTGTACATTCAAGGCAATTTGGGTAACACTTTATTTGACACTGATATGGCAGGTAGCTTAGTGGTTAAGAGCGTTGTGCCAGTAACCGAAAGGTCGCTGGTTCTAATCCCCAAGCCGACTAGGTGAAAAATCTGTCGATGTGCCCATGAGCAAGGCACTTAACCCTAATTGCTCCTGTAAGTCGCTCTCGATAAGAGCGTCTGCTAAATGACTTAAATGAAATGATATAAATGATATGGACAGTGTCATAAATAAGAATAAACTCTGTCATACGGTGTTATGTTCATATATCAATATTTGTACTGGTTAAGCATTATTTGTAAACTGCATATCGTGTCTATACTGTGTGAAACGTTCTAACTAAACATCATGGGGGATGTTGGTATTTGCTATGGACAAACTGTCATGTTGTGTGTTGGATCCCTGAATAGGCAGTTTGTATGTGTAATGTGTACAGTAACCAGCATTTCTCTCTATTATAGGAACTGATGCAGCAGGATACATATGAGATATTACATTTCATATTGAAAACATGTATACGATGAACACTATAGTTGGAATTTGTGTCACTGTTTTTTAATGCATGCTTGGTTTGTAAGTGGACGTTCTTGAAGTTCTTACATATTTCTATATATTTATTTGTCACATGCGCAGAGTACAACAGGTGTAGTCTTTCCTCCTTATGATAACCAGGTGGCGAATCGCAGCTCTGCATGTCTGGCAGACATATCAGTGTGGATGTCGGATCACCACCTCAAGCTGAACCTCGGCAAGGCGGAGCTGCTCTTCCTCCCGGGGAAGGACTGCGCGCTCCATGATCTCGCCATCACGGTTGAGAACTCCGTTGTGTCCTCCTCCCAGAGTGCAAAGAACCTTGGCGTGACCCTGGACAACACCCTGTCATTCTCCGCTAACATCAAAGCGGTGACCCGATCCTGTAGGTTCATGCTCTACAACATTCACAGAGTACGACCCTACCTTACACAGGAAGCGGCACAGGTCCTAATCCAGGCACTTGTCATCTCCCGTCTGGATTACTGCAACTCGCTGTTGGCTGGGCTCCCTGCCTGTGCCATTAAACCCCTACAACTCATCCAGAACGCTGCAGCCCATCTGGTGTTCGACCTTCCCAAGTTCTCTCACGTCACCCCGCTCCTCCGCACACAGTTGAAGCTTGCATCTGCTACAAGACCATGGTGCTTGCCTACGGAGCTGTGAGGGGAACGGCGGAGCTGTGAGGGGAACGGCACCTCCTTACCTTCAGGCTCTGATCAGTCCCTACACCCAAAGGAGGGCATTGCGTTCTTCCACCTCTGGCCTGCTGGTCCCCCTACCTCTGCGGAAGCACAGTTCCCGCTCAGCCCAGTCAATACTGTTCGCTGCTCTGGCACCCCAATGGTGGAACAAGCTCCCTCATGACGCCAGGACAGCGGAGTCACTGACCACCTTCCGGAGACACTTGAAACCCTACCTCTTTAAGGAATACCTGGGATAGTATAAAAGTAATCCTTCTAAAAAAAAAAATCAAAAAAATTGTAAAGTGGTTGTCCCACTGGCTATCATAAGGTGTATGCACCAATTTGTAAGTCGCTCTGGATAAAACCGTCTGCTAAATGACGTAAATGTAATGTAAATGTGTAGACCTTACAGCTACATACAGGGGGTACCGGTTCAGAGTCAATGTGCAGGGGCACATTAGTCGAGGTAATTGAGGTAATATGTACATGTAGATAGAGGTAAAGTGACTATGCATAGATAATAAACAGAGAGTAGCAGCGTAAAAGTTGTTCAGGAGTCTTATGGTTTGGGGGTAGAAGCTGTTAAGAAGCCTTTTGGACCTGGACTTGGCGCTCCGGTACCGCTTGCCTTGCGGTAGCAGAGAGAACAATCTATGACTAGGGTGGCTGGAGTCTTTGACAATTTTCAGGGCCTTCCTCTGACATCACCTGGTATAGAGGGCCTGGATGGCAGGAAGCTTGACCACAGTGACTGGGCTGTACGCACTACCCTCTGTAGTGCCTTGCGGTCAGAGGCCGAGCAGTTGACATACCAGGTGGTGATGCAACCAGTCAGGATGCTCTCGATGGTGCAGATGTAGAACTTTCTGAGGATCTGAGGACCCATGCCAAATCTTTTCAGTCTCCTGAGGAGGAATAGGCTTTGTCGTGCCCTCTTCACAACTGTCTTGGTGTGTTTGGACCATGATAGTTTCTTGGTGACGTGGACACCAAGGAACTTGAAGCTCTCAACCTGCTCCACTACAGCCCAGTCGATGAGAATGGGGGTGTGCTCGGTCCTCCTTTTCCTGTAGTCCAAAATCATCTCCTTTGTCTTGATCACATTGAGGGAGAGGTTGTTATCCTGGCACCACACGGCCAGGTCTCTGACCTTCTCCTTATAGGCTGTCTCATCGCTGTCGGTGATCAGGTCTACCACTGTTTTGTCATCTGCAAACTTAATGATGGTGTTGGATTCATGCCTGGCCATGCAGTCATGGGTGAAAAGGGAGTACAGGAGGGGACTGAGCACACACCCCTGAGGGGCCCCCATGTTGAGGATCATTGTGGCAGATGTGTTGTTACCTACCCTTACCACCTGGGGGTGGCGCGTCAGGAAGTCCAGGATCCAGTTGCAGAGGGAGGTGTTTAGTCCCAGGGTCCTTAGCTTAGTGATGAGCTTTGAGGGCACTATGGTGTTGAATGCTGAGCTGTAGTCAATGAATAGCATTCTCACGTAGGTGTTTCTTTTGTCCAGGTGGGAAAGGGCAGCGTGGAGTGCAATAGAGATTGCATCATCTGTGGATCTGTTGGGGTGGTATGCAAATTGGAGTGGGTCTAGGGTTTCTGGGATAATGGTGTTGATGTGAGCCATGACCAGCCTTTCAAAGCACTTCATGGCTACAGACGTTAGTGCTACGAGTCGGTAGTGATTTAGGCAGGTTACCTTAGTGTTCTTGGGCACAGGGACTATGGTGGTCTGCATGAAACATGTTGGTATTACAGACTCAGTCAGGGACAGTTTGAAAATGTCAGTTAAGACACTTGCCAGTTGGTCAGCGCATGCTTGGAGTACACGTCCTGGTAATCCGTCTGGCCCTGCGGCCTTGTGAATGTTGACCTGTTTAAAGGTCTTACTCACATCGGCTACGGAGAGCGTGATCACACAGTCGTCCAGAACAGCTGATGCTCTTATGCATGCTTCAGTGTTGCTTGCCTCGATACGAGCATATAAGTAATTTAGCTCGTCTGGTAGGCTCGTGTAACTGGGCAGCTCGCATCTGTGCTTCCCTTTGTAGTCTGTAATAGTATGCAAGCCCTGCCACATCCGACGAGCATCAGAGCCGGTGTAGTACTATTCAATCTTTGCCTGTTTGATGGTTCATCGGATGGCATAGCGGGATTTCTTATAAGTGTCCGGGTTAGAGTTCCGCTCCTTGAAAGTGGCAACTCTACCCTTTATCTCAGTGCGGATGTTGCCTGTAATCCATGGCTTCTGGTTGGGGTATGTACGTACGGTCACTGTGGGGACAACGTCATCAATGCACTTATTGATGATGCCAGTGACTGATGTGGTGTACTCATCAATGCCATCGGAAGAATCCCGGAACATATTCCAGTCTGTGCTAACAAAACAGTCCTGTAGCTTAGCATCTGCGTCATATGACCACTTCTTTATTGACCGAGTCACTGGTGCTTCCTGCTTTAGATTTTGCTTGTAATCAGGAGGATAGAATTATGGTCACATTTGCCAAATGGAGGGCGAGGGAGAGCTTTGTTCGCATCACTGTGTGTGGAGTAAAGGTGGTCTAGTGGTTTCTTTCCTCTGGTTGCACATTTAACATGCTGGTAGAAATGAGGTAAAATGGATTTAAGTTTCCTTGCATTAAAGTCCACGGCTACTAGGAGCGCCGCCTCTGGATGAGTGTTTTCTTGATTGCTTATGGCCTTATACAGCACATTTAATGCAGTCTTAGTGCCAGCATCGGTTTGTGGTGGGAAATAAACAGCTACGAAAAATATAGATGAAAACTCTCTTGGTAAATAGTGTTGTCTACAGTTTATCATGAGAGACGCTACCTCAGGCGAGCAAAACCTTGAGACTTCCTTAATATTAGATTTCGTGCACCAGCTGTTTACAAATATACACAGACCGCCACCCCTTGTCTTACCGGAGGCAGCTGTTCTATCTTGCCGATGCACCGAAAACCCCGCCAGCTGTATGTTATCCATGTCGTCATTCAGCCACGACTCGGTGAAACATAAGATATTACAGTTTTTAATGTCCCGTTGGTAGGATATTCTTGATCGTAGCTCGTCCATTTTGTTGTCCAATGATTATACGTTGGCTAATAGGACTGATGGTAGAGGCAGATTACCCACTCGCCGTCGGATCCCTGACCTACGTCCCCGATATCCCCATCTCTTCTTCATGCGAATGACGGGGATTTGGGCCTTGTCGGGTGTCTGAAGTAAATCCTTCGCATCCGACTCGAGGTGAGTAATCGCTGTCTTGATATCCAGAAGCTCTTTTGGGTCATAAGAGATGGTGGCAGACACATTATGTACAAAATAAGTTACAAATAACGCAAAAAAACACACACAATGGCACAATTGTTTTGGAGCCGGTGCCATTCTTCTTCTATGCTGTTTATTTAGGCTGCAGGCCTAATGCCACAGTGACACAGGAAGAAAGAGAGAGAGTGAGAGTACTGCTGGCATTTTCCTAGTGCCCAAACACATGTGCTTTTAATAACTGTATGTACACTGAGCTCTTCCCTCCATAGTCTGGAGCCCTGTCCTTCAAAGCTCAAATATCCTGGGCTCTACAGTGGTAGAATATATCATGAATGAACTCTGGGCTACTGCTATGTTGCTAAACAGTAGTCTCAGAAACCTGACCCTAGGCAAAAGCAGAGACTAGGGTCTGGTTTCAATGACAAACTCTTTTGGCAACTTCGATAAGGTGAAAAAAATTCAGACAGAGAACTCTTTTAACAGTAACGAGGAAGACATGCCAGAACGCCGCGATTCGAAACCAAAGTTTGCAGGCAAAACCTTTGCAGTGGTTTTAGTGAAAGTAATTGGTCCAAACATGCAAAATGCACATGTAAAAAATAACCTCTGTGATCTCCATCTTGCTAGCTACTATTTTGGAATTTATTCAAGTGGATAAGGTAGGGACCTAGGTAGTGACGTAGGTCCTCTATGTCAAAAGATTCCGTTATTGAAACTAGACCCTAGTAACTGCTGTTGCCTAGGGTCGGGTTTTCGAGACTAGATGAACAGTATCTCTGCTCTATGTCGCTATGTCTTTGTGGTAAAAGAGCAGTTTGTAGAACAGAGAGCACATTTCTATGCAAACGGATAGGCCCAAATCCATGCTTGTAACTTAATGCATTATTAACAATAAAAGTTTGAGTTAAGTGCACACATCTGAAGTTAGAAGATTCATCTCATCTCTGTTGTCTCCTTCTCATCAGTAACTCCAGTAAACGTAAACTCCTGTCCCTGCCATTGTCACCAGACTTATCAATCATTTCAGGCTGATGTTGACTTTGGCCATGTTCAGAGCATCAACACCGTGTATCATGGGTAAATTGTGACTGACTAACTGATACACTAATAATAATAATAATGAGTAGTTATTTATGATGCAACGTGATTTGTAGATCAGTCAGTCTCGACGCCT